GAATAAATAAGAAACAAATCGAGGAGGCTCCTCTCTCCGGGCCGCCTGGAGTGGCAGGGTAAGGTTCAGGAGGGCGGGGACCTGCCCCACGCCTGGACCTCCTGATGCTCCCTCACCCCACAAGTTGAGGGTCAGCAAGCTGCCCCCCAATTCTCGAGTCCCCTTCCTTAGTGAGTGCGGGCTCTGGTGAGGATGGATTTCTCCCGAGACGCGGGGGTGTGTGTGGTGGGGGCAGCCTTCTGTGGCCTATGCTGTCCCTCTCCTTGCCTGGCTTCCTGACCTCCCAGTCCAGCTGGGGAAGCCAGACTGTCCCTGGGTGAGGCCAAGAGATTAAATAGAATAATAAATAGATAAATAAATAAATACACAAATAAATAACTGGAAGGACCCAGCCGGACGGGGGAAGGGCATTGGTGAGGTGCTCCAGACCTCCCCCCAACAAGTAAGGAAGGGGATCTGTGGCCCTGGGGATGGGGGAAAGTGCTCAGAGAGTCTGGGGGTAGGGCAGCTCCAGATTGTGGAAGCCCAGGTTGTGCCGGGGAGAGAGGGGTTACACTAGGGGGCAGGGCCCTGAAGTGCCCCTCAAGCCCCCTCCAGGTTAGGTAAACTCAGAGGGGTGAGAGTTGCTAGAGAGGTGAGGGCATCTGGAGCTGGGGCTGGGAGTGGGTGATGAGATCCCCATGGACTGAAGAGAGTAGGAAATGTGTGTGGGAATGTGTGTGTGTGTGTGTGTGTGTGTATGTATGGCCGGACCTAAGGCCTGAGCATGGATGGGATCAGGGACAGATTGGAGACTTCAAGAAGGGTGAAGATTAGATCCCCAGATGGGCACACTCTGGGAGACTCAGCAGAGGCCAGAGGGATGGTCTGGGTTGGATTGTGGTCTCAGGGCGGCAGGGCCTGCGTCCAGGTATGGATGGGGAAACTGAGGCAGGCATGGGCGTCAAGGGTATAGGTATGCGGCTTTCATTGGGGGCTCCAACAGAGGAATGGTCAGAGAGATTCAGCTGAGAAGCGACAGAAAAGATCTAGAAGTTAGAAGAGCAGCGCGGGGTCTGGGCGGGAGAAATTTCCGGCTCTTGGCGCGGGAGAGGTGCGGACCTGGTGCCTGAGTTGGGAGCCTTGAAGGCGCGGACAGGGGGTCAAGGTCCGAGGGGTGGCCGGAAAGGAAGCAGTGGGTAGGGGGACGCTGGGGAAGACGGTGCTGGAAGTGAGTCGTGGGCTTGGGGGCTGGAGAGAATAGTTCAGGGCTGGTCAGGGGTCCTCACGAGAGGGGCATGGGCAGGGAAACGCAGCGGGGGGTGGGCGAGGGCGCTGCGGGCGCAGGTAGCGGACCCGGGGCGCGTGGAGAGCGAGTTCCAGGCGCGCGGGCGAGGCGGAAGGCTCAGCTGGCCGGGCCAGCAGGGGTCGGCGGGGGCGGCTCGGCCCCCTTGACGCAGGCTGCCTCGCAGTGCTTGTGGAGGTAGGACTTGAGCGCGAAGCTCTTGTCGCACTGGCGGCAGCGGTAGTGCTTGAAGGCCGAGTGCGTCTGCATGTGCGCGCGCAGGTTGGAGCGGTCGGCGAAGGCCTTGCCGCAGTGCGCGCAGCCGAACGGCTTCTCGCCAGTGTGCGAGCGCATGTGGCCCTGCAGCAGCCAGGGCCGCGAGAAGGCCTTGCCACACACGCCGCACTTGTGGCGCAGGTTGTGCGTGAGCACGTGCATGGCGAGCGCGGGCATGGACACGTAGGCCTTGCCGCACGTCGGGCACTTGCGCGCCAGCTGGCTGTCCAGGCTGCGGTGCGTCTGCTTGTGGCGGCTCAGGTTCGACGACGTGGCGTAGGTCTTGCCACACTCGGCGCACGCATGCCGGTGCCCGCCGCCCGCCTGCGCCCCTGCTCGCCCCGCGCGTCCCCCGGCGCCCCCCGCGTCCCCCGAGCCCCCCGCGTCCCCGCCGCCTCCGCCCCGCCGCCGCCGCGAGCGCCCGTCCGAGATGAAGAAGGCGTCCATGGAGTAGCTGTCGGTCACGGCCGCCTCCCCTCGGAAGTAGCGCGCGGACAGGCTCGACTGCGGGCTCTCGGGGTCGCTGTACTCCTCCGGCGCCGCCGGCGGGTACGCGGGCTCGGCCGGGGCCAGCTCCAGGCCCGGCTTCTGGTCCGCATCGTAGCTGCTCGGGGGCAGGCAGTGCGGAGCGTACCCTGGAGGGGCGAGAAGTGGAGGGGCGGTGAGAGGAGGCGCCGAAGAGGGTTTCCCGCTTTGAGCAGGTCATCCTATGTGCCCTGTAGCTCAGCGCCCCTGTGGCAGCCCCGACAGTGGCAGTCTCCGACCTGCACCTCAGCTCTTCGTGTCAGACGGCCTGGGTTCAATTCCTTCCTCTGTCGACTGCAGTGCAAACAGCCGCCACCCCATCCCACGGAGCGTGGGGCCGGCACGGTTCTACAGAGCGTACCTTCACTATCAAGTGCTCACAACCACGGAGTGATGGTCTTATAATACCCACTCTACAGGTAGAGAAACTGAGGCACAGAGAGATGCAGCAGTCAGTCTAACCTTAGAGTCAGTAAGTGATGGAGCCCTTGCCAGTGTGACCCTGAAGCCCATGCTGCCTCTATTCCAACAACATTCTGCCGTTGCAGTCCTGTGACTTCTCTGGATCTCAATTTTCTCATCTGCAAAATGCAGCTTGTGATTGGACACCTCCTTCCAGGGTCGTTGGAAGGACTGAGTAAAGTGACGATAATAAACATGTATTAAGCTCTTACTGTTTGCCAGACTCTGCCTCGGTGCTTTACACATGTTAACTCTAATTGTCACAGACCCAAGGAAGTCGACACTATTGTAATCCCCATTTTATGTGTAAGGAAATTAACAAAGGGGGGAACATACAGTAATTGCTATATAAATGTTAGCTATTATAATTATGCTTTTTACTTGCTTGGAGATAGTCTCCTCCCCCACCACACTGTGAGCTCCCCAGGGTTGGATCTGTATGCTCAACACATGCCTGGCTCAAAGTAGATGTGCGATGAATAGATGTTGCACGAAGGAATCACAATCCAGTTAGACCCACCTGCCAGGGTTGCTGGAGCATTTAAGAGGGGTCAAGTGTGTGGCATGTAATAGGTGCTACAGAAAGGGGACTTCCTCATACCTGCTCCCAAGCCTGCTTTGCTCTGTGCTCCTCTAGAAGTCGTTGGGAGTCCCCAGTGAGAATTCACCTTCCCCTCCTCCTCCCACTTAACTGGAGTTAGACCAGGAATCCTGTCTGCCAAGGGTTTGAGTGATTGGTGGGTGGGCAGGCTGGGGTCTCCCAGGGGATTCCATAGGGGGTTCTTATAGGCAGGGGCCATTCTGATTTGCCTCTGCCTCCCATGGCCTAGGCTGGTCCTAGCACCTTCCCTGGGACCCTTGGGGGCTGGGCTCCCTGTCGAGTTTCTGGCAGACAAACTTTTCATCCTGGCACTTGATGAGCAACTGATTCCATTTTTCTGTGATTCCACAGAACAATGAAGGTTAAGTCCCTTTCAGAGGTTTCCCAGCTGGGGAGCGGGATTTGACCTTCTCCTGGTGACCCCTGAAACCGATAACCACTACTCCTTCCCTTCTCCCCGTAGCCTCCTTAGCTGAAGTGAGCAGGTGGAAGAGGGTTTTGTAAGGGGAAACAGGATTCCAAGATGTTCAGACTTTTCGCTGGGTATTCTGGTCAGGTTTGGTTCCCTACACAGCCTGATTCAGCCTCCAGGCCTTTGCCTCTCATCTGGCATTTGGGATGGACACAGGGTGAAGTCTGTGTGCCCCTGAAAGCAAGGGTATGCCCTCGTTTTTATCTCTGTCCCTTCAGCAGCCAGCACAGGGGCCTCTGCACATAGAAGTGATTGTGGATTGAGGAAGTGGATGACCTAGTAGGGAGAGGCTCTGTGCTTGGATGTAAAGGGGGATAGTGATAGTGGCAATTTTTTAATCTGGGGAGAGGAGATGCCCAGCCTCTCCGAACCCTATGTCTTCCATCCCATCTGCCTCTGGTCTGGAGATCCCCCTGCTTCCCACTCCAGGAACCAGGCGTGGTACTCAAGTCCCAGAACGTTCAGGAGTGTTGTTTCAGACTGAGTTAAATACCTGTCAGGCACTCCCAGACCCCCCTCCTTCTCCTTCTGTATTTCCTCACGTTGTAATTCCTGGTGATGATAATAATAGCTAATATTCATTGAGCACTTACTGTGTGCGTCAGGCTCTGTGCTAAGTGCTTCGCTCCCATCATCTCACTGAATCATCACAAAACTGCTCTTATCACAGATAAGGAAACTGAGGAACAGTGTGGTGATGGCCCTTGCTCCAGGGATGGAGCAAGGATTGGAATCTACTGCCCCCTTGGTTTCCCACATAGTGAGAGGTCCTCCAGGAAGGGGCTGTTCACCTCCCATTCCTAGGGCCCTAGCTAGTAGGCACTTAATAAGTATTTGTGGAATGAGTGATGACGATTTGCGAGGCCAGCCTCACTCCCCAGCCTAGCAGGGCCTGGTAGACAGTCCTGTCCACCTGGTCTCAGGGCAGGTCTGCACCTCATGTGGCTGGGGCCATGGAAGGGGAAGGGTGATTTGGTTCTCCAACACAGATTCCATCTGGGTGCCTTTGGGCAGGTTGTGCCTCGGGTCCTTTTTTTTTAATGGGATTTGTTTGGAGGGGTGACTGATCATGTAACCAGTGCCTTGCATGTTCTATTATTAAAGAAGGATGACATATTGGATAAGAGTACAGCTTTGGTGCCAGACAGCCTGGATTGTTTTGGCTCTGCTATTCCCAGCGGTGTGACCTTGGACAAACGATTTGGCCTCTATTTGCCTCTACCATTTCAGTAAGGGGTCGTCAGTAAACAGACAATGTATAAACAAATAATAACCAACACTCCCAGAGCACTCCTGTGTCAGGCACTCTTACAGGGGCTTTCCACACATGAATGCACTCTACCCTCATGACGCACAAAGTGGTACCATTTTACAAAAGAGGAAACCAAGGCACAAGGAAATTAAGTAACAAGCCTAAGATTGTGCAGCTAATAAGTTAGAGTCAGGATTCCAGCTCAGTGGCTGGCACATTTTAAATCCACCATGCATGTTGGCTGTTACCATGAACAACAATAACAATCTCCCCAGATGGGTTTCTGTGCTGCAGCTTTCTTGGCGTCTGCCCCAACACATTTTACTGCTCCTCTCTGGGCCTCTGTTTCCTCACCCAGGATGTGTAATTTCTATTTCACATTCTGATGGGAAAATTTCTGGTGCATAGTAGGAGCTCCATCAGTGAACCAGAGCGTTCTCAATGAGGTGCTCTGCCCATGGCGCCCTCTGCTGGTGGCCTTCAGCACTGTTGACTTTACTCTTGTTGCAAGGGGCTCTTTATAAAGTAGGGGCGCCTTTAACAAAGGCTGCTCATTTGCCTAGGGAGGGATGCAGAATTGTCTTCAGGATAGTAATTGTGAGCCCAGACCAGACACCCTGTCAGTGGATTTTGGAATGGGTTGAGAGCATCCTATGAGAGTTTGTGTGGTCATGTTAGGAGGAAGTGGTTCTAACTTGCTTTGTGACTGTGGCCAGGTTGCTTAACCTTCCTGGGCGGAATCTATACATGAGAAAGATTGACTGGAATGGTCTAAAGACCCTTTCTGCATCATGGCTGAATCAGTCCCTCCATGATGCGCTTTGTCCCCTCCACTCCTCGCTCCTCCAATTCCACCCTGTTTTCCTCAGATTCACAGACATCTCCCTATGCAACCTTGGGCAAGTTACTTAACCTCTTTCTGCCACACCTGTATAAGGGAGCTCATAATAAGGTTGAATAAATGAATGCATGTAAAGTGCTTAGTACAATGCCTGACACATAATAGCTGCCCTCTCGACCTGTTATTATTATTGTCGTTGGTAGTATTCCTACATTTCCTGGTGATATCCTTCTAATCTGCCAGAGAGTAGGAGATACACATGGGTGTCTTATGCTGCTGTGTGACCTTGAGCAAACCACCTCACCTCTCTGAGCCTCAACCCTGGAGACTTCTTTAGGAGACTAAAAGCCATACTTTAACCTGATGCATGGAACCCAGACACGTATCCTCCTCTGTCCTAAGGGTGACTATAGAAGGCTGAGATACCTATCCTGCAACTGACAGGGTGAGACAGGACTCTTGTTTGGGTTCCCACAGAGATAGGGATGGTCTGGGATTCAGAGAAAAGAGAATCTCAGATGAGATCTCTCATCCTGGCCCTTGAATTCAGACCCTAGCTGTGTGACCTTGGGTAAGTTGCATAACTTCTCTGGGCTCAAATCCTCCATTTGAGGAATGAGGACCAGAGCCACCCACGTCATGTAGGGATATGGGGAGGGACCAGAAATACTTTGGAGATGTGCACATGTTTCCTGGGAATGACTTGGGTTTTCCCTGCCCAAGAGTCTTGAGATTTTAGGCTGAAGGTCCAGAATCTATCTTTTTAAAAATTAGTACTCAAAGGAGTCGTGAAAGGTAAATTTATGAGAATTAAGGTGCTGGGCCCTCTGCAGACACTGTCTCATTTAGCTACCTGACCCCCTGGGGGGATGGAGGGGCATGTGTAACAAATACTACTACTGTTACTGCTGGTGCTTCCAACTGACACCAGCCTCCCTGTAAGCCAGACATCGCCCTGTGCCCAGAGGCCCAGAAAGGGGAGGGGATTTGCCCAAGGTCACTGGAGAGGGAGGTGGCAGGTCTGAAACCTTCCAAGGCCCGTGTTTTTTCCAAAACACCAGAGAGGGCATGGAGACTTGCTGGGGAAGAGATCTTCAATTGGTGGGGGGAGGGGTGGTGGGGAGAGCGGTGGTGGGGTGCTGCGCAAACACTCCCATCTAGTTAGGCTGTGGTGGGGTGGGTGGGGGCATGGGGTAGTAGGGGCATGGAGAAGCTGTTGTGGAAAATGCTTCAGGCCCTTGTAAATATTTGTAAATCATACTTAATAACAGTAATGTCTATCACTTATTGAGCACTTACTTCGTGCAAGGCACCCTGCTAAATACTTTGTGCACATTAGCTCACATCTAAGGTCACTTCCCTCCATGCCCTTGTTCTGCAGAAGCTGAAGCCCAGACAAGGGCCTTGACCCACCTCAGGTCACAAAACAAGTTCTCATCAGAGCTGGGTTGGCCTCCTTTTCTTTTCTTTTCTTTTTTTCAGTCCAGGACTCCTTTCCCCAGTCTCTCCCAGACTCCCAAGGTGCCAAACTTTCTCCAGGGAATTCCTAGCCTCAGCCTCACCTCTGTGTCCCAAAATGGGCAGAAAAAGACAGGGGCCTGGTGGTGGGCCAGCTTCCCAGGCGGCCCACTTTCCTGAGGAGGGCTGGGCCCTGCTGGGTGGTGGGGGCTGGAGGGGCTGCTGTATGGGTATATTTAGACCTGCTTCTTGCTGTGCCAGGGCCTCGGGCCTCGAGAATCAGCTCCAGCCAGCTGAGCAGAAAGCCAGGTCTGTCAGCAGCAAAGCAGGATAAAAATAGTTTCTCCTGTCTGCTCACAGAGCTGGGCAAAGGGGCTGGGTACCTCCCCCTCCCCTTATTATAGCATCTTTGTTAGCGGTTCCCTGGGCACTGGACCAGAAATGACACCCACCTCCTCCAAAGGCCTGGCAGCTGGTACATCTGCCCACGGGGAGGAGGTCCCTGAGTCCAAATGAGCAGTGGACAGAGTGAGGTCTGGCCTAACATGACCAACGCTGCACGGCTTGGGGCTGATGCCCACTGACACAGGTCCAAGGAACTTCGAGATAATTCCAAGGCTCTTCCCCACCACCCCCACCTCTTGGAATTCCCCGTATTCTGGTCTTTCCTGACTGTGACCCAATTCCTGTGGCCTACAGGGAGGTCCAGAGCTCTGCAGGAATCAACAGGAAAGATTTTTCAGGGGGGTGTGGAGATTACAGTGAGTGGCTCAGGGTCTTCAGTTGCCCATCCTGGTTGGTGGAGCTGCCTCCCGCTCCCTCGGGGGGTTCTCCAGTGGGCCCTTTCTGGGCTTCCTTCCGGAGACAGGGTGTGTTGCGCAGTGTTCCACCTCCTCTCCCGGCCTCCTACTTTCTGCTGTGCCCCCCTCTCTCTAGAAGGCCCATTCCAAACCCCTCCCTACCCAAAGGCTGGCAGTAGACACTTCACTGCAGGGGAGTCCACAGCTGGGAAGGAGACCAAGAGGCCTGAGGGACCCCATCTCTCCTGGCAGAGGGCCTCCAGGCTGTGGGGGCCCCTAGAACCTGTGGATGTAGCACCCACCAGGGAGGTGTGACAGGGCACACCATTTATGCTCTTGTGACTTCGGGCAAGTCATGGCCCCTCTGTGACCTCAGTTTTGCCTCTGTAGGTTGGAGTGAATCCTCCCCTGCCCCCCCTGCCCTTTGCCCACTGTGGATTTGTGTGGCCAGAGAGTGCCTTTGGGATGTGTAGACTGCTGCACTGACATAAGGGACTTGGTGTACTCTCCCGCCCTCCTTCAGCAGTCAAAGACTGAGACTCTCTAAAGTGTGGAAGCTCAGCTCGGGACCCTCATGACCCTCTCGTAACCCCAGGCTTTAGAGGAAATCAGGGGTTCCCAGATTCCGTATCTCACATGGGTCTCATCATTCCACACTTCCACTGAGCCCTGTTAATTCACAGGAAAATTAGATTTCTGGGTCCCTAGAAGGTCAAAGCTGAAAGAGATCATATTCAACTGTTTGGTATCATGAAAGGGAAACGGAGGCTGGGAGGAGAGGAGAGACTAGGCCAGGACCACCCGGAAGGCTAATGGTGAATCTAAGACTTGAACTCAGGCCAGCCTTGAGAATAGATCTGGACATGACCTTGGACTGGAAACTGGGCCTGAATCTTGATTCTGGACCCAGCGCTTTGCCCTGGACCTGTTCATAGATATTGAAATTTGAAATTGGACATGGATTTGTTCTGGATAGCAGACCTGGACCTATAACCTCAGACACTGACCTTGTACCTAGTCCATGGACCTGGTCCTATACCTGAAGTTTGACCTAGGCATTGGACTTGGACCTCAGATCTGTACTTGGATGATTGGACTGAATGTTAGACCTCGACCTAGACTTTGAACCTGGGCCTCTGACTTGTCTTTAACGCGGACCTTGGACCTGGACCAAGGCCAAGTTACCAGGGAAATGGGTGGTTAGAGAAGACTCAGATGGGCCTGCTGTGTGTCCATGGGCACCTCCCCAGACTTCTCTGTGCTCACTCTTCCAAAAGATTGGGGAAGCCCTTTTGCATCACTGCTCCCCAGAGGAACTTTCTGAGGAATGGATGTGTGGCAGCTGGGGACATTGGGCCGGGCTCCTAGGCCTGGCCTGGAGCGACTACCTGGCGCCATCAGAGGGAGTGAGAGGAAGTGGGCGCTGGTTTAATGTGGTCAACTAGATAAGCCCATGGGTAGAAGTAGGAGAGTTTCCTCAGCTTGCTGGGGGAGGCTTAATGTAGCTGCAGAGGGCAGACAACTGCGTTATTGGATTGGCATTGATCCCTCATCTGCCTGGGTTGGATGCACTCTGAGAGGGCATGAGGGCAGGACAGGGTGGGGATGCAGAGGAAGGGGGGCCTAGCTCCCAGCTGGGGTTCAGCGTTAAGGTAGAGGGGAGGCAGACACTCCAAAAGATGTTCTTGGCAGGGGCCCACAGAGACCACTGACATGCATATGGGTGGGCCACCTTCTCTGGGGTGGCTGAGAGTCCCAGCATCCTTCAGGATGGGGGCTCTGGTCTGGGGAAGGCCTGGTGGAGTTGGAGGGTGAGGTTAGCGGAGGGTTAGGATGATGTGAGTTGGCATCTCCCAGAAAGACTGAGTCTGTGCTCAGAATCACCCAGGGGAGACAAGGGGAAGGGAAAGCAGTGGAGGAGCAAGAGAGGGATCTTACTGGAGGGGACAATGAAATTAGATCGATTCCCACTTATCAGGGAGCTCTGCAGAGAGACCTGGTGCTTTCTCCATTTTGGGGGCTCCCCTTTCCTATTTAGGGGTTCTGTGGGCTTGGGGGGACCCTGGAGCACAGACGCACTTGCTGCACCCTCTGCTCTGCCTGGTGGTAGAGCTGAAAGGGAGTAGGAAGGCAGAGAAGAACATTGCTCGTGTGTGTGTGTGTGTGTGTGTGTGTGTGTGTGTGTGTGTGTGTGTGTGTAGGAGGAGGAGGAGTCCTCCAGGAATTCTCCAGCATTCTCAGGCATTCCCAGAGCTGGGGTACACCTCTTTAATTTGGGGTTCTGCATCTTTATCAGCTAGGAGCATGTGGGTTCTCTGACCTCCACATTCACAAGCTCCCCCAACCCCTGCTCCCCTGACCCAGGTTTCCCTCCCTCCAGCCTCCTCCTGACCCTGCAGCCCGAGCTGCAGGAATGGCTTGTAAGAAGATCTTTCTAATAACTGGAACTATCTCCAGCCCCAGGCCTCCCCCTCTCTCCCTCCCTCCCTCCCTCCCTCCCTTCCTTGCTTCTCCTCCCTCCCTCTCCTCATCTTCCCCCCTCCTCTCTTTCTCCTTGTTTACCCAGCACACTTACACACGCTGAGAGAGAAAAACGTCGGCTCAGCAATTTTTCACACTTCCCTCAAATGCTCAGCAAGGTTATTTCCGGCAGAGCGGAGACAACGGGCCACCAGGAGCCGGCAGGCTTTCAGCAGACCCCCAGCACCCTCCACCCACCCAGGGAATAAGGGATCCCTCACTGCCCAGTCTGGCCACACCCCAGGGAGGGAAGAGGCCCCCGAAAACAGGACAAGGCAGACTTTGTATTTCCAAGTCATACCTTGGCTTGGTCCCTGGCACTGACTTTCCACTGCAGACACTGCCAAGGTGGCCAGGCCAGGGTGCCTGTCCTCAACATGGGGTAGCCTACTGAGACCAAAGCCAAGAAAAATGCCTGATCCCAGAAATGCCGCTACCCTCAGCCAGGTGGCGTATGTTCAGTGGAGCCCTAAGGAAAACCTGACAATGGCCTCCCAGCCTCCTGTTAGACCCCTGTGCAGGCATCTCCAGTGCTTCACACTCCATACTTGACCTTCACAGAAGCTGAGCTTGTCAAAGTTGGAAGGATGCTTAGTTTCTGCCATCAAAACTCTTTCACTGCTGGGGAGGCTGAGGACCAGAGAAGGGAAGGCACTTGCCCAAGGTCACACAGCAAGTGAGAGATATAGAGCCCCGGCCTCCAAGTTTCAGGCCAGGTTTCTGGCTATCAGGACAGCCTCAGGATTCCTGAGAGGTGAGGGAGTTGGTCTGGAGCCCCGTGGGGAAAGGGACAAAGACGGAGGTGGTTCTAGGGTGTTAAACCCGGTGGAACCTCTGCAGAAACACCCTGCTGGTGGCTCTGCACCCGCCCTGCTTCCCACTATTCACTCAGGGGCTCCTTTCAAAGCTTTTCTGGACTGAATTCAAGGCAAGGCATTCTCTTGCCTCCCTCCTGAGGAACAGCCTGCAGTTTTGGCTGTGATTGGGAAATTCTCTGGGCTTCTCTGGGTTTCCTCAGCTGGCCTGGGGACAGGACCAACGGGGCTTCAGGGGCTGGAATCCCAGAGCTTTGTGTCAGTCCCTTAAGGGATCCATATCCCAAGCTTGCAGATATTTCAGTTTCCACCAGCTTTGAGCACACACTCTCCAGCTTTGGCATAGCCCCAGGTCCACCCTCTGTCCTGCCAGCCCTCAGCCCAGCTCAGCCATGTCCCTGGGCTTCTGTCCTCCACTTCAAGAGGCCCTACGGTCACGAAAAGAGGACAGTAGAATAAGGGATATGTGGACAGAGGAGAAGGGGTTTCTGTTAATGATCTGGGGGAGGCTAGGGGATGAGGGGCTGTAGCTGTATCCCTGATCACTCTGTAACTTCTTTGACCTTGATGAGGTCACAAAGCCCTTTGCCCAGCACTCTCTCTCTCTACCTGGTGTGGCAGAGTGATGGAATGTGGGTGAAGTGCTTGGAAATCCCAGAGGTGGAAGCCCCCACCCTCCCAGACTCCTGTCTTTGCCATCTCAGTTCCCCCCTCATTCTCGGCCCTTTCTCTTCTCCTCTCTCAATCTCTCTCTCCCCACCCCCATTCCCCCCCCACACACACACACCCCAAAGCTGCCACATGTGATGTCAGATCTCTCACTACCAAAGGGACACCTCCTCTCCAGACACCTGCCCTGGTGGGGGCCATCAGGGGAGAACCCCTTTATGATCCCCTTGGTGGAGGATGGGATCCACAGAAGCAGTCTCCACTTTTCCCTGCCCTCCAGAGATCACCCCCTTCTGCACCTGAATGACCTCTCTTGTTCCTCAAACCCTTGTCCCTGCAGGAACTTATTCTGAGAAGAGATGGGAGTGTGTGTGTGTGTGTGTGTGTGTGTGTGTGTGTGTGTGTGTGTATGTAGTAGGGAGGGGGCTTACGAGGAGCACCAGGGTTGGTTCTGGAGGGGGTTTGAGAAGCTGGGGATGGGGAAGAAGTGCAATCCAGGGGACCAGGAGCCACTTTGGGGGAACCCCTCCCAGAAATCCCCTCTTTCTTGCAGTCGCCAGGACAGGCCCAGCCTTTGGCAGGCATGTGGCTGAGGGTAACAAAAGAGTTATTGAGAGAGGGGGTCTGAGAGCACTTGAGTGACATCGGCAGGGGAGCAGGTTTGAAGGGAGGGAGGGTGCCCCCAGCCACCCCCAGAGAACCAACCCTGTCTCTCCAGGGACTGAACATCCAGGGCTCTTTACCTTCCCCCTCCCCAGGCAGCCAGCTTCTCTTCCTCAGCTGGGGAGAGGGAACCCTCAAACTGCCTTGTGCTTTAGTCCCCAGCACTGGCCCTTCATGAACAGACCTCTCTCTGTGTTCTCTCGCCACCCCCTCACTCTAGCCCTATTTGAGGGCCACAACTTTCAAAGTCCCGACCGGCGCGTGGCTGCGGGATGGGCCGACCCCGCGACTTTCCCTTTGTACTACCTAGCCCCTGCCCCGCCCGCACGCACGGCCCTTGGAAAGCCCGGGAGGCGCCCACGGCCAGAGATATCTCCTCCCGGGGTTTCCTGTCGCACGCGCCCCTCCTCGTGGCCCAAGTTGGGGAGGGCCCCAGCTCCCCTCGTCTCTCCTCCCAACCCCCCCGCCGGGTCCCACTCACCGTTGTCCCCGGGAGGCCCCCGGGCGCCAGGCAGCACGTAGGCTGTCTCCAAGGGGTGGTAGGTGGGGGCCGGCACCCCGCTGCACTGGAAGCCGTCCCCTTTGATCTTCTTTACCAGGAAGGAGCGCGGCATGGTGCGACTGGCGGGGGGCTCGGCGGGGGCAGTTGCGTGGGGCCCCGGTGGGGGGAGGCGGCCAGCCGGGCGCGATTGACTGTCCGCGCCGGTTTTCAGCACTGGACAGCTCCCAGCGGGCGGGCGGGCGGGCGGGAGGCCGCTCGGAGCCGGCACGGGTGGCGGCGGCCCCTGCTCGGGCTCCGGCTCGGGCTCGGGCTCCCACTCGGGCTTGGCAGCGGCGGCGCGCAGACAGGGGATCGCAGGAGCTGTGCTAAGCACTCCGGCTGCCGGCTTTATATGGGACGCAGGCTGGAGGAGATCAGGTGGTCCCCTAGCAATGGAACTGTTCAGCGCTCTAATCCATCAAATGTCCCCCAGGACAATCGCTCCGCACACGTTCCCCTGAACCGGCAGCGGTGGGGGCAGGCCAGGCGCAGGGAGCAGCGAGCAGGCAGGAGGGGAGAAAGTGAGGGTGAGAAAGGCGCAGAGACAGAGAGAGACGGAGAAAGGGGAGTGAGGGGGGCGGGGAAAAGAAGAGAGACTCGGAGAAAGACAGAAAGAGACATACAGGGAAAGGGAGACGCACACGCTGAAAGAGGTAGAAATAGAAGCAGAGAGACCAAGATAAGGACAAAAAGACACAAGAGAGAAACACAGAGAGAAGAAAGACAGAGATGGAGAGAAGTAGCAACACACACACACCCACAGGAGGAAAAGAGAAATCCAGGCACACAAAAAGGAAGCCCCCCAGGAATGCAAAGAAAGGGAAAGAAAAGTGCAAAATAGGGGCAGAAGACGAGGGGAACGGAGGGAGAGCGGTCCCGAGCAGGCGGGGTTCAGGCACATGGGGCCACAGGGAATGGGATGCAAAGAACAGAGTGTGCACTGGCCAGCAGCGACCCTCCCGCCTCCAGTCCTCTCCCTCTCCCCCAGTTCTGAAGTGGCCAGGGTGGACACTCAGCTTTAACTAGAGTAAGTCTCCCCTCCCCCCTGCTCGGGCTCCCACTGGAGCCCCCTATTGGGTTTGGGGTTCAACTTTCTTCTTCCAGAACTGGTTGGGGGGGGAGCAAGTCCCCCACGTCGATGGCTGGCCGCGCTCAGTTGGTCCTGTTCCGGTGCCTAGCTCAGGCGGGCGCTGCAAGAGGAAGTGAAAATCGTCCAGTAATTAATTTTCCTCCTGCCGGGGGGTGGTGGTTTTGACACATCCGAGGCTGTGTCTTTCCCTGAAGCGGGGAGCAGACAATAGAGACACGTGGACTGGGAAGGGAGAGGGGGGAAGGGAGGGGGAGCGGGGCTCCTGCTGGAACTCTTTGCAGGTCAGCTCCTTTGTCTCTAAAAGGATCTGAGCAGACCCTCCACCCCCAGTCGGACCCAAACCTAGGGGAGCCCCCATATCTTGGCAGGACCAAGGAGCAGGAGAACTCAGTCCCCTGCCCAGAGACTGCTGGGCAAAGCCCCATGGTGGTAGACCAGCTTCAGCAAGTGTGGGATGGCCAGTGCACAAGAGTCCCAGAATCAGACTCTAGGAATGCCAGGCTCTCACTGTCAATGGAATTCTGTTTATGAGATGCAAGGCTGGTGGAATGGGGATGTCCTTTTGGGACTGGGTCATCCAATACCAGTTTGCAGGCTAAGACCTAGAGAGGGCTTGGAGGTGCTTGAGGTCATGCAGTGAGTCAGCAGCAATTGCCAGAGACCTCAGTGGCCTCCGGGCACTGCTGAATCAGGGCCTATCATTGTCCTCGAGGTGTAGCCCAGAAGTCTCAGAATAAAACTGGGGCCCCTTGTGGTGGCTCAAGCCTGTAATCCCAGCATTTTGGGAGGCTGAGGCAGGGGGATCACTTGAGGCTAGGAGTTTGAGACCAGCCTGGGCAACATAGTGAGACCTCATCTCTACAAATAGTTAAAAATAAATTAGCCAAGTGTGGTGGTGCACACATGTGGCCTTAGCTACTTGGGAGGATGTGGTGGTAGGATCACTTGGGCCTGGGAATTTGAGGCTGCAGTGAGCTGTAATGGCACCATTGCAATTCAGCCTGGATGAAAGAGCGAGACCCTATCTCCAAAATACTACTACTACTACTAATGATAATAATAATAAATTAGAGTTTCCAGTGCAGGATCTCTTGGCCTTGAATATTTTCAAAAGACGTAAAGATGCAAGGATGTGTAAACTGAAGGTTTACCGTTGAATTTACCCTGTATGG